TTGCGTTTATATACGTTTGATGCTGTGAAAGGTGGTTGACGGTGGTGGTCTGAATGGTAGTTGGTCAGCGTGCTGGAACCTTTCTTCAGCCTTGAAATAGATGGCACCGATGATGCTTACGGAAGGAGTATGCTGCGATCTACCCTTCAAAACCTACCTGTTTATGAATGTTGGGATAATAGATGTGTAAATGGATAATGTCGAGACCACTGATGCAGCAGCCCAGCTGTGAATTCATCTTTGCTGAGCAATCATTTGTTCCATGGATGCCATGATCCACATCCGTGAGGTTCCCACACTTGTCTGTACGATAGAGAGAGAAGTCGAACTTTGGGCGACCATACAACAAACCAAACCGTGATGTTTCAATTTATCACAGTTTCAATTTGGTTTGGTTTGGTTTTGTTTTGGTCAATCGTTTTGATTTACGATTCAGCCGGATCAAATCAGACCAACCCAAGCCTTGCAGATTACTATCGTATGAGTCCGATGGCAAATATGTAAACAAATATGCATAGAAATAAATACATCGTTTTAATTTTGTTTCTTCCGTAAATAAGTATCATGAAACGAACAACAGTGCATTAACGATGCATTGATAGCTAGAATGCATTCATAGAGAGTTACAGTCCGTCTCGAAGCTTGACCAGCATCAACCACAACTGTCACTTCAGATGCTTAATGACAACACACAGCCAACTCATAATGAACACCTAATCGGGTGTCACTTTGAAACATCTCCCACCAATCATGTGTTCCACAACCACATGAAGATGAAGGCCGGTTAGAATCTTAGATGGGAAGGCCAACTCCTCTTCCACGGGGGAATTGTCTCTCATCCGCAAGTAAATCCATGGCAGCACCAAATAACCAGAACAACCATGGAACGCATCCTGCATCCTTTGTGCTTTCCAAATATAGAACCCTCATTTATCTTTGGAACAGTCACACACCAAATCTACATACTATAAAAAGACAAGAAGCTCATGTCCTCATCATCTCAAAACTATGTAGAAGACACAAAATAAAGCTTGCCGATCCCTTAGTCATGTTTTCTGCAGCTAGTTTTCTTTTTATAACTCAAATAAAAGAAAGAAGCTAGCTGAAAAAATAAAAAAGAAGAAGAAGAATCTAAGAAAAAAGTTAAAACGAAAGAAAAAAAAAAATTGAAATGATTGTTTTGCCCATTGGTTTGACATCCATCCAACATGTGATATCACATGTGATGTTTTCCGTCAGTACAGTAGATGAAATTATAAAAAATAAGATCATTTGTTTCACTTTCATAACTATATAAATCTCAATATAAATTTTTTTAAGTAAAAGGATCACGATACTAATAGGATCAAAATATGTAACAACAACCCTATCCAACGAGATCATCTCAGTACTACTTAAGAAACAAAACATGACTCAGCACATCAATGTCAGAGTGTGATGGTTACTGGGTAAGAAATGTCTCATAGCATAAATAGTGTGCATGATGCATGTGTCCCTGTAGCACTTTTAGTTTAATCAGTACATTAGAAACATGTGGAGTGTCATTTTGGACCAGCGGTAGCAACAAATGCAGACTTCTAGCAAGTTTCTGTACCATTAAATAAAACCTGGAAAGTGACACATCGGAATTGGAACTCAGAGTGACTGAAAAAACAAGGAACTATTTAACAAGGTATACCAAATATTTTTCATACATCATGCAGAGTTCTATTAGTAATCAGAAGCATTGGTATCAAATTTAATTTTTGATTGTGCGATAATAACAAGAAGATGCAACAATGAGAGGTGTCCTTCATCAACAGTGTACTATAATCCAGTAAATAAGTTGTCCTTTGTGCACCTCACATACAGGTCTACTAAGTGCCTGATCATCATGTAGGATATTAGAATTTTCTACAACTTGGATATATGGAGGAATGTCATACTAGAATTCTTTAGGACTTGGATATTGTGGACAGATCTACATGATTTTATAGAGATGACAGTAAACCAGTAGTGAGATGTTGCCACTTGAATTCTTTGTATACAAACATTGTGAGTTCTATAAATAGGGGAGACCATCACAATTGTAAGGCACTAAACTCTAAGTGTGCCTTAAAAATCTTCTTGGGTATCAGATCACCTAACTTTCTTGAGTACAGTTCTAGAAATTTAATTTAGGCCAACAAGTTTGTGGTACGGTTTGCCTTTTGCCTAACTGGGAAGAAGTTCCATGTGTGAAACCCTGTTGTATTTGATGAGGAAACTGCTAAACTATTTGGTTGACAACAGCAGGATAAAAAAGATACACGAAAGTAGCAAAATATGGATTGATGACATGTTTCTGCAGGGCACTAAGTTTGAGATACACATATATAATGAATATAAAAATAAATAGAATCAAGGGCGAATTGTCGGAAAAAGCTCTTAACTTTAACTTTAGGTTTTTCATGGAGAGCACCCCAAGCTTGAAAAATTCCTGCAGGGCACCACTTTTTCAAAAATAATCATTCTGCCCCTATTGATCATTGCCCTCTGCCGCGCCTCCGTCCATGCCTGGTTGTGCCTTCGCTTCGTCGGCTGCCGTGCGCTTGACAACCCCACCGACCCCCCTTCCCTACCATGGCCGCCTGCACCTTTGCGCGCGGGCTAGTAAAGCCGACTGCCCCCCTCCCTTCCCCTCGTCGCCTACGCCTCCATGCATAGGCTGGCCCAACTGACCGCCCCCCTCCCATCCCCTAGCCGCCTGTGTATCCACGCATGGGCTAGTAACGCCGACCACCCCCTCCCTTCCCTTGGCCGCTTGTGCCTCTACGCAAGGGCCACGGCCAACCACGACAAGGGTTGACGAGCCAAGTGGCCAAGCACGAGTAGAGGCACGGCTAGGGCTGAGGCTACGATAGAAATTTTCGAAGTTATAAGGCAAAATGATCTTTTCAAGCAACCATGGGCGCTCTATGGAAAAAAATCCAAAGTTAGGCTTTTTCCAAGAATTCGCCCTAGAATCATTATGGAGACATAATATAGGCATTATTACACAATATTTCCTTAAGAGACATAAGGACAGACTTAACACATGAACAAGGCAAATATGTTAATATTTCATCAGATAGTGCAATTCATGATTATTCTGCATTGTCAGGACTATAACCAGAAGGTTTTACTCTTTTTTTTTTTCAAGAGTTACAAGTCCAAGGTTGCTATTTAAAACTTAAATAGTCAGCACATATTCCACCATCACCAGTTACCGTGGGTTTAGCAGAAGAAGAGTAAAAACATAAACCGACGGAGTCAAGAATGTATGAAAAGAAGGATTTAGAACTATAAAGAATCTTCCTGTGGAAGAATAAAAAAAGGAGGTCCAGAGCACAAGTTGCAGTCAAATACTAGGAAATAGGAAAGAGATTCATTTGATTTGGCTTTAGAAAACTCCACGTCAATGACTTTTGACTATCCAAAAATTCATAAAACTACGATAAGCATTAAGACATAATATCCTTGTTTGGGGTTGGCTACATTGAGTTTCGTCCTACCTCTGAGATCTGTATGCAAAGCCAACAATCATGCAGAGGTCAAATACCAAGACACTTGAGTTCCAGTTTACATAGAATATATGAACCTGAAGTACTGGGATGGCTCAGAAAATTGACATGTAAAGGAAATTTGACTGATCACTTCTAAATACATTCTACATATAAAAAGGACTCAACATCTTCGTAAGCACATGAGACATAGTGTTGTTAAGTTAATTTGTTGCAAAGTGATGAAAGAATTGAAATTCCTTTGAACTAGGTTATCCCTGTCTCTTCAGGGTGTTCTTCCACGAGTTCAAGACGCATCCACTCTCCTATGGACTCCTACCCTTTCTCACACTTAACAACACTCTCCTATGGACTCCCATTTGTACAATCTCCTCCCTCCCCTTCCGCCTTCCTCTCTCACTAAGAAAAGAAAAAAGAGAACTGCACTGGAATCTTTTGTGCCAAAGATAGCTAACGAAGATGAAAGAACACAATATGTAAAAACATAATTTGTTACGTTTTTAAATCACAGTAAATCTCTCTCAATCACTATTATCAAGTAACATAAGAGCTTTTAGCAGAACTTAAACCAGACAATGCTAATTACCGAAAAGTGATGTTCATGCATCCACTTAAAAAAATGAATTAAAATTTCCTAGTATCTATTGTTAACAGAATGTTTCTTCTTATATCATTCTGCATCTAATAAAATTTTTTCCATACATCCTGTTGAAAATTGTAATGAAATTTCTCAGTAACTCCCATAGATTGAAATTTTCTTTTTATATCATTCTGCATCAGAACTAACTTTTCCTTAATATTTTTAGAACTTGTACACGTACACATCAACAGACAAAGAGAAAAGAATACAGATGCACATATCAAAAGAAGTACAAAACTATATTAAGCCAAGGGAAAAGTATATGGTCATATCATAGGTGCTGAGGTGTAACTATGCTGCCATCAAAGTTTATGAGCTAAAAATTATAGATATAAGGCTTTGGATAGACCTAAACTGTATTTGCAAACGACCTAGATATTCAACATAAAAAAAATATTAAGTTCATGGTGGCAAAATCCTGGGAAGGTAGCTACAGAGTCGAACAGAATTCAAAATACAAGTAAAAAAGACATTCATAAATTGCATTGAGAAAAAGCATCACTTAGTATACTTCGACAGCAAGGCACTCACAAATTTAAAAGACTACATACAACCTCCATATGAAATATGTCAAAACAAGATCTTCTAATATTTAGAAGACAATAAAGAAATACTACTAAACCACTTAGATAGCAGTCTAACATCATGAATCACGGGAAGAAAATTCAGAAGTGAACAAGTGTATGGAACACAAGTGGACACTAGAAGATAATTACAAGCTTATTTCTCAACTATTGCAAAACTAACAAATACTATGATGTAGTGATCCAAGTTGCCAAGAATTTGTGGAAGTCCATGCAATGTCACAGTTTCAACAGCTTAAAGACACTATAAAAAAAGGCATAAAATTGGGCAAAGTATTAATACTTTGGTTGGGGTTAAACCGAAAATGATATGAATTTATGGCAGAACAAACACAATTGAACAACCAATTATTCCCTCAGAACATAATACCTGCAGCATTTTAACTATCCTTTGACATAATTGTGACTAAGATTAACATACCCAACTGATATTGTTTTGGTTGGCAATGTCCTCCTGTTCATCTTCTTTATTATCCTTGATGAAGCTTCGCAGATGAGTAAAAATGCAGACACGAACGCAAGCTACCCCCTCACAGAAACCAGAGATCAAGAAGCCGCTCTCAAGCTCTGGGGTCAGTCCCGTGCTGCCAGACATAGACGACCTCGTCCCACCCAGTGCTCGCAATCAGGCCCTCGACAAGAACACTCATGTCGATCCCGACTGCGAACTCTGTGTGGTGGTCGTACCTCGCGATGAGGGCGTCCTCCGCCCGGTAATCCCACATACACACGGTCATGTCATAGGAGCAGGAGAGAAGGACGCTCTCCCTGTGGGGAGAGAAGCGAATTCGGCGGACCGCGTAGCCGTGGCCGGCGAGGTTAGCCAGGGGCGCCCGGGTGGCGCGGATGTCCCAGACGCGGATGGTCTTATCCACCGAGGCGGTGGCGAGGCAGCACTCGTCGTACTTGTTCCAGTCGCAGGAGAGGATCTCGTGATCGTGAGCAGGGATGACGAGGGTGGAGACGGGTTCGCGGACGTCCCAGACGCGGACGGTGCGATCGCCGGAGGCAGAGGCGAACACATCGGCGTGGCGGGGGCTCCAGGAGACGGAGTAGACGCAGTAGGAGTGCTCGCGGAAGGTGCGGAGGCTGGCGGGGCGATCAAGGGTCCAGAGCTTGAGGGAGTCGTCCCAGGATGCGGAGAGGAAGGAGTCGCGGCGAACGGGATTCCAATCCACGGAGTGGGCCTCGCGGGAGTGCTCGCGGAACGAGCGCACCGGGTTGGCGGAGGGCGGCAGGGAGGCATCCCACAGCTTGAGGGAGCCGTCGGCCACGGCGGAGACGGCAAGGGAGTCATGCGACTCGGACCAGCAGCAGTCGTAGACGCCGTCGGCGGTGTCGAAGGCGGCCACCTCGGAGATACCGGGGGCGCCGGGAGAGGGAAGCAGGTCAAGGACATGGAGGCGGCCGTTGCCGAGGATGCCGAAGTTTTGGGAAGTGGCGACGAGAAGGCGGCCCTCATAAAAGGGGCTGAACCGCACCGCGTAGCCGCTGAAGGGCGTCTTGAACACCGGCATCGCCGATCGATCCTCCCTACTTCGTCTACTCGTGGAATTCTCTCTCTCTCTCTCTCTCTCTCACCTCCTCTCCCTCGAGATGAGAGAGAAGAGGCGGCGGTAATAAAGAGATTTATTGGAGAAGACTCGAGGGCTTTTTCTATAGATAATAACATAAATAGAGAAAATAGAAGACGAGCAGAGAAAAGAAGAAAACCCTTTTCGATCAACATCGAGTCGGTAGACATGATAGAGCCCAATGGGCTGCTTTTATATTTTAATTGGGCCACCAATATTAGATCTGTACGGCAAGTATTGATTGACCACGTAATTATTGATTGATGCAGATAAAGACCGCATCGGCAAACCCAGACACAGGACGCGTTCTCCATCTACTTCAAGTACTTGACATAGGCCACATGGGATGAGTTCGAGACCTTGCTCAGCGTCCCCAGCAGCGGCGCGAGCCAGCACCTGTAGTCCTTCTCCCAGTACAAGAACCCTTGGCACTTGCAGTCCATGCTACATCTCCTCTTGCATTCCTCCAGCTTCTGCGCCCCCTCGCCGTCGCTGTACGTGCTCAAGAAGTTCTCCACCCCTTCCACCTTATAGTACTTGGGCGTCACCCCTTCCTTGCATGCCGCCAGGCTCGGAGTCGCGCAGCTCGTGCTCCACCCCAGTAGCCCGTCCTTGGACGGGCACGCGACGCACATCTCGTCCTCGCACACCCCGAAGGCGCCGCACTTGCTCGTCAGCCCGCAGCCGTTCAGCCACCCCTTTTCGTCGGAGAAGAAGGCGAATGTCTTCTCCCATGCCCGGTAGTCCACCGGGTCGTAGTACGTGTAGACGGCTAAATTGCCGTCGATGTCCAACCTCAGGAACGATAAGGTAGCGTTGTACTTAGGCCTCGACAAGTTTATGATTAGCTTGCACTCCCAGGCGAAATTGTCCTCTGTTTCCGGCTCGCAGACGAACGTCACGGAATCCCCGGGACCGGAGAAGCTAAGTAAGCCGTCGGAGTAGTTATAGTAAGCAAGCGGTTTGGAGGCGACGCTGTTGATGTACATTGTGATCCCTCCGGGCCCGAACACAAGGCTGTAGATGCCGAAGGAGCCGTCGACGGCCGACTTCCGGCTTACGAGCTTGTTGGGGCCACGGAGGCGGAGCGACTGGCCGACCAGGAGCGTGTCGGTGGGGTAGTCGAAGCTTTGCCACACGAAGCGGCCCTTGGCGTCGTAAAGGACCACGTTGCCGTTGGGGAGGACCTTAAGCCCGACGACGCCTTTGTTGGTGGTGTTAGTGGTCCAGACGACCCGGCCGTCGGCCTCGGCGAGGACGAGATTGCCGCTGGGGAGAAGCGAGAAGGTGGCGTTCTCGCGGACCGGGCGGCCGCGGTTGGCTTCCCAGACCCATCGGAGGATGGACTCGGAGCGCACGGTGCCCATGCGGAGGGCGAGGTAGAAGGCGTCGGGGGTGGTGTTGTAGAAGGCGAACTGGAAGGGGGAGCTGGCGATGGGAAGCACGCGATAGCTGGCGTCGTACTCAGTGATGTAAGGTCCGAACTCGCCTTCGTTGACATAAGTGAAGGTTTCCACCTTTTGGCCTCGAGTTTGTCTGGTAGCAGAAGCAAGAAGAAGAAGAAGACAGAGACACAGAGACACAGAGGAAAAGGAAGGAGGTATAAATGGAACAGCCATGAGATCTGTGAGAGTGGAAGAGAAGGCTCTGTCCGCCTATTGGTGATATGTGAGCATATGGGTGTTCCTGCTTCCATATAAAGGATGTCATAAGTAGAGTTATCCTCTCGCCATTATCCATTTGCTGCATTACTTTTTCCATTGTAACAGTGAAGTCAGTCCAACTTTGACCAACCCTAGATCTGATTTGACACTGTCGGTCAGAGACGTACAGCTTATCCTAACGCAGCAACAGGTCAACAATGAAAGCTTTAGTCATAGTCAGGAACTGTGGGGAGCCAAAACAAGGGTCACATTGGAGGGTCTTCATTAATGTGGCCCTTATGAAGTAGGTGGACGCTAAGAAAGGCGTATTCCAAGCTGTGTTGGAAGGTCCTGTGTGCTGCTTTGGATACATCATTTACTGCATTCTTCAACTCTGAGATGGTGCCTTTCTCCACGGAGAGGGAGTTCATTCTATGAAGGATAGATTGGATCGTCGGAAAATGACAGGCACATGGGCGGCGACAAAACGTCGCCAAGTTGCGCACCGACAGTCGACAGACGCTTCACGCAGACACACACAGCCTCGGAGTTGGCATGATTTCAAGCTCCTGCTTCAGAGTAACTCGTTGATTCATTCATTAGGCTTTATTCTCAGTTGAAAGCCTGCAAAATACATCATAAGCATGTGATTCTTGGCGACTCGAGTTAGTATAGACGGCATGATCTTCCTCATCCACCACAAAATCCATTCACAAATAAGGGCTTCCAGAGGTGCAGGTCAAATTATATAGAGGTAGGACAATATAGATTGGATATAATTAATAAAAATACACCTGGAAACCACATAATCGAATAATTCGTTTTTGGTACTGTCTGTACCAAAAATTCCAAGAAAGAGAAAAGACGGAGAGACATTAGTCTTAGTAATGGCAATAGGGTGTTCTTTTAATGCTAAAGCAGCAATGATCTCGTCTTCGTGAGCTGGTTTCCATCAATCCACTCGTGCTGAGATGAGGAAACACGGCACCGTGTTATCGGCCAAGTGCTCGTGCTGAGTACGAAGCACTGGATAAGATCAAGTTCTGGTGGGGCTTACTTGAACTGGCAGCTTTATTCGGTCATCATTATTGTGGACAAACAAGCATGGGCGTGAACTTTGATGATGATAGTAACTATGATAAACTTGGCTGACATCAGGTGATGCCTCACATCTCAGACGACACCCGGTCAAACGAATCGAAACAGGTCGAGGCGCATTAAACACCTACTCAAGCTCGATTCTTCATGTCATGCCAAACCAATATCAGACGCAACCAGCATGCCCCCTATAAGCGGACACATCAGGAAACAGTAAGCCTCCCTATAAATACCCTCGCACTCTGAATGAGCGGGGAGGGGGAGAAACTCAAACACTTCTTCATCCGAAATCCCCTCCACATCTTCTGCTAACTTGATCGTCGGAGGGGTCAGGTCGAGCTTCCCGACCCGACCTTTGTGCAGGTGCGAAGCCGAGGGTCCCGTCGGTCGCGCGGACGACGAGCCCCTGCCCGGAGGAGACGGTGACCCCGTCCCGATCGGACCATCGCACCGGACCGACCCCGCGGGCTCGAGGCACGTCTCGGAGAGATCCCCGACGTCCGGACCCGAACCGAGCCACGTCGGCCCCGAAGCCACGGCTCTCAAAGTTGTTTCCCGCAACAAACTTGACGTAGACCGAATGAGACGACGTCGAGACTTTGGCCGATGTCCCAGGCACTGGAGACTCCTTCCGGTACGGGATCCCCAGACACTTGCAGTCGCCGCTGCACCTCCTCTTGCATTCATTCCTGCAGCTCCACCGTCCCCCTCCCCTCCTCGTAGTAGTCCACATCCTTGCTGCAGTCGCCCAGCTTTGGCCCCGCACAGCTCCTGCTCCACCCTCACATTCCCTTCCGTGAGGGGTAAGCCACGCACATCTCGTTCTCGCAGACCCCGAAGTCGTCGTACCTGCTCGGCAGCGCGCACGCGCTCAGCGTCCCGATCTCGTTGGAGAAGAAGGCGAAGGTCGTCTCCCAGGCCCCAGTCCCGGTAGCCAGGTTGCCGTCGGCTCCCGGAAAAACGATAGGCGGCTGCCGTACTTGAGTTAGCCGGAGTTCGTCACCAACGACAGCTCGTAGGAGGTTGCGTTACCGATCGGCGGCGACGATGTAAAAGTTACATGAGTTAGCCTCTCGGCGATTCCAAACATGCCGTCGGAGTAGTAGTAGTAAGGGAGCGGGTTCGTGGTGACGCCGTTGATGTACAAAGCCAGCACGTGCGATTCCATGACGAGGCTGTACTTGCCCAAGTTGCCATCGGACGCGCTGCCGCCGACGCGCAGGGACTGGCCTACCATAAGCGTGTCGGTGAGCTAGTCGAAGTTCTGCCACACGAACCGCCGTTTCGAGTCGTAGAGCACGCTGTTGCCTTGCACGGTGATCTCGAGGCCGACGACGCCTATGTTGGCGGTGCCGGTGGAACAAACAACGCGGCCGACGGTGAGGGTGGCATTCTCGCGGACGTGGATTCCCAGACCCAGCGCCCAGTGGACTTGGATCGACCTTACAAGAATCGCAATGGTAAAAGAACCACTACAAATAATTATGGTTCAACTATGTAAATCCCAATAAAATCTTCGCAGAATATCTTATAATGTATCAATACAAAACTCATGCTAATAATAATAGTCTTATATATCCTTGATCTTTCTTTATATTATTACATGTGTCATATTATCATTGCTGAGCACTCAGGTGAATTGACAACAGTGGTAAAGTAGCAGCTTAAATCTTTGAGATCACGTCAAACACAGATCAAACACGGAGTATATAACACTGGCAAACTGTTAATAGTGTCTTGTTCCTGCCACATCAAATATAAGCATACTATATATACGTACATGAATCTAATTCATGCTTTAATTACTTGAATAACTATGGAGGAGTGTGCCCATTTATTATATGCACGCATACTCGATTAAATATCACCTGCTATTGCCAATAAAACAACACCCAGCTCCACTGTACTATAAATAATGTTGCTGTAATTAAGAATCCAATCTACCTAACAAAGCCCTACTCCATTTCTATCGAGAAATACTATTATTCCTAGCAACGAAGGAGAAGAGTGGACATGAAAAGGTTGCATTGTTTAAGGAGTTGTGCTCATGTTGATCCAAATCGAGAACCATTTATTTGATCACCACACCATCATGCCAACCTGAAACCACAACACAAAACCATCAACTCTTCGAATAGTATTGCAAGTTAGTGTGACCTATCACGACATGACAGTGTAGGGCAGGAGAACATGACATGTCCCGTGATTTGGCTTATGCATATGCTTCCGATTAGGTACAGGTGATGTACATGTGACCAGATTCCACCATAACATGACCAAGTGGGAGTCATTTTTTTACTGGCCATTGCAAAGATGATAAGCTTAGTAACACTTGGTCTCGAGTGGTAGAAAGACTTCAGGGTTTGTCATAATGTTTTTGGCCATGAAAGTCCAAGATTTGCCTCCATCAGATCGAGCAACATAAACTACATAAAAAGTGAGTTCACCTGCAATTTTCATGAGGTAATTGACACATCATATTGTCGTATGAGGACAGAGTCGATAGAGAAATCATATGCCTAAGTAATGATTTTGGATTAAAAAATATATTAATTCAGATTTTATTTGTCCGATATGAACAATAATTCAGATCTAATCAATAAATGTCATAGGTAAGTGAGAGGTGAAAGTGAGAGGTGAAAGTGTTTGTAGAGACTCGACAAAATCAATAAATGTGATCGAGTTATTCAGTTCAATATCGAATATGAAGATAAATCTTATCAAATGCTAAGTAGCAGTGTACATGAGGTTTTGATGACGTCATAAATGATTATGAGATCCAAAAATACAATTGTGAGAATCAGAAATGTAATTAGAGATCAAGGATGATTAAGTGAGTTATTCGATCATAATTATTCTTATAATGGTGCATTAAGTCTAAATATTATGAGACCATTAATAACTCTATTGTTCCAAATGTCATTCTCTTGATGCATTGTTGAGGTCAAAGGCATGATATTTCTCTATCAAAATAAAAGAACACTGTCCCTATATATATATATATATATATATATATATATATATATATATATATATATATATATATATATATATATATATATATATATATATATAT